TTTATTTATTTATTTCATATTTGCAGACTAAAAATTTACAGGTCACAAGGTGTCAATTAACTACTATGGCCCGTGGAAAAAACGTAAAATTTATTCTGGCCCATGTTATAAAAAAGGTTGCCCACCCTTGTTCTATAATATGCTTCTTGTCTAGCTTTGGTATATACTTGTGAGCACTATGTTGGCCTCTTTATTCCTAGACTTATTACACAGTCACTGGACACAAGATCAGCCTTAGAAAATCAGTTTATTTTCCCAAAAAACATATGCATTTCGGATCTTAAATCCCTCATCAGCTTTTTTTTTACAAATGTTTCAATTTCAATAAATATTGAAATTGAAATACTGTACACCTATATACCAAGGCTAAACAAAAAGCGTATTACGGTATTTAAAAAGTTTCTTAGGGTATACAAGGCTTTAATGTTAATTGTATGTATGTACATTTTAAATACACGTTTTGGACGTAACATGCCCAAACCAACTAAAATTATATCAAAAAATACAGTACTTAAAAGGTTAACCTTTTACGTACTGTATGTATTTTTTGATATAATTTTAGTTTGCTGAAGAGTGCATGTTACACCCGAAACGTGTATTTTAAACACGTATCAACTGAACTAAATAAGGATGATAAAACACCAAGTGTTTGAATTTATTACACTACATAGTATCTAAGAAACAAAGAAGAATTACAACACGGTTTCAGATTATCAAAAATGTTTGTTACTATTGTTACTGCCTATCTAATACTTGGTGCCTCTCATATTTTACTCAAATGCTACCTGGATTACAATGTTTCGATTTCTGGTTTTGAACTTATGACAACTCTATGGTAATAATATGCTTACATAAAATTTTATCATTTGAATTTAAAATTTAAGTTAATATTTTGATTAATGTTTCTTGAAATTAAATTAAATTAACACAGACTATTCATAATAATATATACAGGAAGCGCAACGAGCGCATGACCTTGGTTTAATAGGGAAACTTGTGAAGTTGATTAATCTAAAACAATAGTCATGAAGTTATTATTGAAGACCAAATGAAGAAAGAATAAATATAAACGTAATTAACTTATCATAAACAGGCTATAGAGTATAAAATTAAATGATTAACTTCTCATTTTTTCTGCCGACTATTACAAAACTCGAGGAGAAAAATGCTCTTCCAATAATCGGCAAACTTTGTTAATGCAGTGACATCAAAATATCTCATATTTCAGATGAAATTGGAAAGCTAACAAAGAAACTGCGATTTCTCGCTAGTGAAATTCTCTCTTTTTCATTAGCACCCACTACGTCTTGTGATGTCGAACGATCGTTTTCCCGGTATAAGTGCATATAAAAAAGTAATGGACTTTCTTACACTAAGAAAATTTATGAAAGCATTGTGTTTCTTCATGTTTTCAATAAAGTTAAGTTTCAATTTGTATTGGTTATTTTCATCTAAAATTTTTATTTCCGTGACATTTCTTTTAATAAACTTTATTTTCGTAAGTTACTCAACTCTCTCCAGAAAGTAGTACTATTGACAATCTTAGAAAATCGATTATTATAATAAGATCTCTACTTCTAATAAGAACCGTACAAAATATAATTTCCAAAGTTAAGGTTCTAATTTATCCTTTTTCTCAATGCCGTCAGATTACGTGGTAAAGAAACTGGCATACAAACACACGCAAAAAAGAATATAATTGACATTAATTAACGGACCTTCATATGGAAGGAAGCAAGTGTGGCATTAATTTAAATTAATTAAGTGATTCTTAATTAATTAATTAATGAAAACAAAAAAGCACTTGATTATTAAATAGGTCTCTATTTGTATTTTTAAAGTGTTATAATCTAAAAGTAAACTGCATTTATTTATTTATTAAAACAGAAGACTTTAAATATTCAATATCCAGATAATTGAATTCTGAAATCTTGTTGTTTCATTTTTATTGTGTACTAGCTTCGCTCAAGGAGTTGATATGAGATTGAACACAGAAATTATAATATCTGTATTTTGTATAGTTTATAAATAGAATCAACATTTATGTCATTCATAGATGTCATTTAATTAAAAAACTATTTTTAAATTATGGCAATGGTATTTATATTTAAAATATTTTTGATAGAAAATGTGAAATATGGAAAAGGAGGACGTCATTGGAGAAATATCTTGTCCTAATTGTCATTACAATTTTCATTTTATTCCTTATTTTTATTGTCCTATTTCTTCATATTAAAAGTAAGTTTTGTTATTGTGAAATTACGTTTTATTTTATTTTTCTTAATTTTTTAAAAATTTGAATTATTGTAATGAATATATTTTATTATTTATATTTTAAATACTATTATATTTATATATGTTCTAGCCGCATACTAAAATTTGCCATTGTAAGAAATACCTCGTCATTTCTTGAAGCTCTAGCACATTTGTTTCAGAATCTGTCTAGTTTTCTGTCACTTCTAGAAATGTTAACCTTGTTTCTGCAGATGCTGGCATGCATATTTCGGAACTTGTCAAATGAAACTAAGCATTTCATATAATGTATCACAGATTATTATTATTACATTGCGTAAAACAAAACAGCTGAATGTTTTCGCAAATAACATGAAGATTCCTGGATGTGTCTCCTCAATGGCCATTTTTACATATTTTAAGACTTTGTTTTTGTATGCTTGGCTTATTTTGCTCTATGAGCACATAAGGCTTTTTCCCTAATTTATTTTAGATTCACCTAGCTCACAATAATTACAGCCGGATGCTCAGGTATAGGGTTCAACAGAAATGAATAAACCGCCGGTAAATAATACCTAGGAATTTTCAAACCCGGATTTCATACTGGATTCCCAGAGTGGTAAATGATTCCCTGTATCGCACTAAATTTACAGCGAGACACATTACCAACGTTAGAAAATAGTTATGTCCCATTATTGCCAATATTATATACAATGCAATATTATTTATATACATATATTGTTAGTTTGAGGATTTAACACTTTCTCTTATGTTTACAACTATAATTACTATAAATAAAACAAAATAGACCTAAGCACAATTATGCCGTTCGCTTTTCCTTTTCCTGCTCTGTTAAATATAACAGAGGAAAAGTATGGCAATCGGTCAACAAATGATTTTTTATCCTATGATCTTTATACATTTTTGGATTCAGAGGACTTTGAAACGTCGAGAAATGCAAAAACGAAAAAAAATCGGGGTTTTTTCCTGTATGTATGGACGTTTGTGTGTGGGGAAGCACTTTGTTTACCCTGTTTGAAGTTCAATAACTCCTGCGCTTTTTGTCAAAAATTTCTGAAATTTTGCACGGAGGTTTGTGTATTAAAAGGATTGATTCTATTAAATTTTAGTGGTTAAAGGTCGGCTAGGTGGGAGATAATGGGGGATCGTCATATCTCGAGTAGGGTCGGACTTAATGATGATTTTACTCTTTATTAGAATGTACAATTTTTTTTTATAAAACCTACCCCTACCCTTAAAATTAAGCTTTATGCCATTTTATATTAATTAAAAAGATAAAAGTTTTTAATGATAAAATATTATAGCAGATGTCGCCACACACAGTTTTAAATGTTGCCAGGGAAAATTAAGCAACTCGTTGGCCCACCAGTGGCCGAGTGGACTCCGTCTCCGCTCATAGCGGCGGTGACCAAAACCCTAAACTCTGGGAGTTCAGTTGTGGGTTCGCGCCTCGATTGAACAGGCTGGCAGCTTGAAGTTTTCCGGGCTTTCTCCTTGCAGATGACCCCTAAATAGGGGCCTGCTCCCCATAAAAGTCCTCCAGTAAGGCATCCTATCTCCATTCGTGTATCTTCCGGCCGTCTTCTATAAGGCCAGCTCTTCCGTCGCCTTGCGATCTTATCTCCTGTCTCTCTTCTCTTCGGAGTAAAAGCGAATACAATGCACTCCTCTATGACAAAGGACAAAGAAACTCGTTGCTGGATTTTTTAGAAATGGATTAAACATACAACATTCGTTTTCGTTTCTTCGTTATGAAATATTATTTAAAGCGTTTTTATCAGAAAAAAAAATAATCGTAACTTTAAGTCGCTTTTTTATTTTATTCGTGTTTAACAATTATTAAATATTATTAAATTATATTTTTGTTTTGTTATTACGTATGCAAAAAATGATTATTTTATAAAATTATTTTGCTCTAATTGATATATATTTTAAAAAGAGTATTTTTATCAAATAATTCACAATTTAAAATGCTATAACAGGGACCGTCTAATAATTATGTTACAGTAGAAAGGATAGAGGCAGATTGAGAAAAGTTTATCATTGTATGCGAAGGGGAGAGAGGGAAGCATTGTCTACGTGGACGTTTTGTAATGGTATTAATGGCATACGATTTATTTACGTAATTAGTATGTAGGCTGTTCTTATAAGCCTACATACTAATTGTGTGAATAAACTATCAGAAATATTTGCAGAACTTTTTAAAGTAATTTCTTCAATAAGTTATCATGGAAGTCTGTGAAATATTGTACGCGTAAGTAAAGAGGAGAGGTATAAAAAATTACATTACTGTATACAACAGGAAAGAAGTTCCTTAAAAATTGTTCACGGTTCTACATACGGAAATGTGAAATATTTAGCTGTTTTGTTTTTTCGCCATATTATAATATCCCGTTACACATTACATGAAACACGTAGTTTCATTAAACAGATACCGAAATATACACCCGTGTCAACATCTGCAGAAACAAGGTTAATATTTCTAGAAGTGACCAAAAAACTAGACAGATTTTGAAATCAATGTTTACTACAATTCAAGAAATGAATAGACACTTCTTACAATGACAACTTTCAAAATATGTGTGCAACATATACATTTATTTTGTCATTTGCAAATATCTCTTGAAATTTACACTAAATTGAAAAAGTATCTTATATGAAAGCTTATTATATTGGATTACCTATATGGTCACCCAATATAAAAACCTTCACCATTCTATCTTGTGGATGGGGGAGAGGTAACTTGATTTTGAAAAGGAATCCTCTCAAATTTTTTTTTCCTTTCTTGTATTTTTTAATTCTTTGTACCAAAATAACATTATATTATTTAAAACGATTCTTTTGATTGATTTTAATTTAAAAAGGTATTATTTAAGTATATTTGAAACATAAGACTTTCCTGTAAAAAGAGGTAACAGAAATAAAAAAATATCGCTTTTGGTAGCTGTTATTACGATCTATATATGTATGCCTCTTTAATCCGAAATTAAGTTCGGTAGACTATCATTACAGTTTTCAGGTTATACAATAAAAAAAAGTGTCTAACCTGAAAGCTGTAATGATAGTCTACCGAACTTAATTTCGGATTAAATAGACATATAGGGCCTATATTTAGAAATAAAAAAGTTTATTGAAAAAGATTAAAAGAGAATTTAAAAAAAAAAAAAAAGACATTTTTCATTTTCTTTCTGTCAAATGCAGTACCATTGACTAGAAAATGAATAATAAATATTAATGTTTTCACAAATGATTGAATATGTGATTTCATTTGAAAATCGAATGCTACTCCCGCCAACCCACAGGGGGAAAAGGAATGACTTAATTTCTATTTGGTTCAATAGCTCTTCTAAAATAACCTTCATGAGAGACATTTTCAATTTAATGTATATACCATTGATACAATGGCCAGGATAATTATTGTAAAGTTAATAAACAATTTAAGTCTATTCAATAACTAGTCTTTCGATGTCCTTTAGGCCCACCAGTGGCCAAGCGGTCTTTGTTCCCTGAACACTGGGAGTTCGCACGGATGGGCTGGCCCAGAGTTTTTTGGGTTTTCTCCACATCCATAACGCCTAAATAGGGACCAGTTTTCCTTAAAAAGATTCCCGGAAGGCATCCCCCTAGGCCAGGGGTCGGCAACCTTTTCAGTCGGAAGAGCCAAAATTACAATTTACAAAATTTCAAAGTTTTTAAAGAGCCACAAAATTTTTTTCTAGCCAACAATAAATAGTATCGCGTAAATAAAGTTTTTTGATAAAAAAAATAATCTATTTATTCATAAGAAAGAATATCTAGTTATTCATATATAAGTAGTGTTTTTCACAACAAATTAGATAATAGATACATTCGACGACGGCGTCGTTCCAGAGATTCCGACGGACTGACGACAGTGACGACGCGTGTCACAGGAGAGTGGTGTGGTGAAAAGCGAGTACAAGTGGCTGAGAGATCAGTGCCTAATCCTCGTTAATCGATTCAGAACGATTTTTAAATGTTTTTTTTTAAATAAAATAAAAAATATTTGCGTATGGAACTAAAGAGCCGCAGCTTCACATCCAAAGAGCCACATGTGGCTCGCGAGCCGCAGGTTGCCGACCCCTGCCCTAGGCAGACCGCCCAACTGTTGTGTTGCCATAACTTGAAACAAATCAAACTTCGATGTCCTTTCTCATATCTCAATTTATTATCCTGGCAATTTTATCGAATGTATATTATATTTTTTAGGCCTATATTATATGTTGTTTTCCTGAGGTGTGAGAAAGGACATCGAGAGACTCGTTATTGTACAGTCTTAAATTGTTTATTAATTTTTATGTATATTTCACTAGATATTTGCAATTGATATTATAAATGCACCATTCAGTGCATATGTCTTTTTTTCTTAAAATTACTTAAACGTATTTATTAAAATGAATCATAAGAAACTTTTAATAAATTTAATTAATATTTTCAAATATGTTCAATAGTGAAATATGATCGTAGAGAATCAGTTTGTCTAACACCAGTTTGCAAAGAAGAAGGTTTGGATTATAATAATGAAAAAATTAATAATTACATATTTTTAACAAAATAATTTATTACAATTAATTTTATAAATTTTAGCGGGTAGAATATTGCAACTGTTGGATTTTACTATTGATCCCTGTGAAAATTTCTATAATTTTGCATGTGGAAATTTTATGAAATACAGAAAACGAATGGCTACTTCAAACCATTATTATCATTTAGATGGATATATGAATTCTTTGGCTAAAGGTAATTCTGTAATTTTAGATGAATACTTTGTAAATATTTGTTGAAATTGTAAATATTTATTAGTTGTTGATTTATCAAGAGGTATTAGAAAAACCAGAAAAAAAGAATGAACCCGAATTTGTTAAAAAGTTGAAAATGTATTATCAGTCTTGCTTGAACAGAAGTAAGTAATTAATTAATTAACGGTTAATCAATATAAAACAAATACGTAAACAATGATTTTTTTTAAAGATTCTTCTATACAAGAATCATTTGAATATTTTCTAAAAGAGTTGAAACTCAAAGAGTGGAATCTTGTTAATCAAGAACTGTTTACATTGGAAGAATTAATGGCAAAAACCAGTATCTACCGTTGGTCGTTTTTTTCTATCTACTCTATATATAAAGGTCATTTTTTAAAATTTATTAAGGTAATGTTATATTTTTAATATTTTATTATATCTTGTTTAGTATTATTATAATTTATGTTAAATTTATATATGACATTTTTGTAAAATTATGAAGAATTATATCAAAATTAACAGACATTAAACTGAGGTTATTAAACGATCTAAAGCGTGGAGTTTTCTAGGTTTTCCAAATGTGTCTTTCACACCTAAATAAGTCTTTATTTAACCCAGTTTCTTACAGAAAGTCCTTCAAAGAGGAACCACATTGACAAATCGTCTTCGTCTCCCGTTGCTTTCACTCAATAAATCAAATTAATTTAAGACAATTAATTCAATTGCCTAAATTAAATCTTATTTTTAATAATTAATCAACTAATATTAGCAATACTTTTAAAACGTAGTTTCACTCTCGTAAAACAAAATAATCACAAAGAAATAAGAATTTTAAGCTTTTACACTATTGCTGATAGATTTAACTGATACAATACAGGCGCAATTCCTCCAAATTTTTAATTACATAATATAAAGTAAGTTATGATTGCTGATATATTTAGTTACAATAAATATAAATTATATGATAAAAAATAAAATATTTTAGTTTACTATGCATGAAGTAAGATTCCTAAGTTGTTATACATTAAAAATACCTAGTTTAGCTATTAAGATTGATAAAAATTAATGCAAATCAATTAATTGAGATCTTAGCATACTTCGAATGAAAACATTTTTATATCAGATTTGCTCGAAAATAGCATTTTTTCCCCGGAATAGAATATGTAGTAAATCATCGACATATCTTGTATATTTTATGACATATTATGGATTGTCTAACCTTATTTTGTCCTGTCTTACTTAACAGGCAAACTCGGGCCCCGCAATCAGCCAGTGTTCACTGATTTTATCTATTTGATCGCTGATGAGTACCTCTAAATTGGACAATAGTATTTTAAAATTAAATTATCTGTAAAGAAAGCTATTCTAAAATAAGTCAAGAAATAAAAAAACTTATTACATTATCACATCACAACGATATATCTTTGAAGAACAGTTTTATCACAAATGTTAAATGTTAACTTGTAGTAACTTGTAAAGCTATCTCTAACGTTGAACAGTTTACATTAATTGCTAAAAAAAGAGTTAATCTTTTCCTAATTTAAACCATCCGTTCGACCGTCACTTTTAATATTTAAGTTATTTTTTTATTTACACTGAGACCGATTGCAATAATGCTCAAAGCGTCAACCGGGTAACCCAGAGTGATAACTCTGGGTTATCCGGTTGACGCTTTGAGCATTTTTGCCCTGGGTTACCCGGTTCTCGGTTACGCTTTGAGCAATTTGAAATTGAATCCAGGAGAGCAAAAATTTCTGGAATTTTTCATGGGTCTGTCCTGATATATTAGGACAGCCATCCACTCACTCTTCCTCACTTTCCGCTCGTTCCAATTGCGGGTCGAGTCTATAGCATGCAGGGAGAAAAGACCCCCTAGTGTCTACTCTGTGGACATTAGAGACTTTTTCAAAACAAAAAAAATCCCAAAATCTCCAGGAATTTCTGGAGAGTGCTCAGTCCAAGATATGTCGGACTTCGCCCCTGCCACCCATTATGGGCTACGCTCATAATGGAGCGGTCCTTAGTTCAGAGCGGAAATATCAAAAATATAAAAGAAAAACTTTGTTTTAATATAATTGAATATATTTATCTAATAATGTTTTGTTGCAAATTGTTTAAAGTACAACTAATTTAAACTTTTTTCAATTTTATTGGTAACATTCAATTAACAAAATAAATTCAGAAAATGAATTTTCTTTTCATTGATAGTGAAAAATTATTTTTCGCAAAATATTTCTTAGTGCATTCGATGTTATATCAACATATTTTATATTTCATTATATTTAATTCTTCAAATTAACCAGTTATTTGACTTAATCTATACACCGTAAACCCTTCAATAGACGCTCGGGTGTCTATTGGACAGAATATAATTACCTCCCTGATGTATATAAGAGAAATTTTCCGTCGAAATTACTGATAAAAATTGTGGAAAATACGGTTGAATCTTCTTTCTACTAACACTTCCATGGTTTTTCCCACCCATTGTCTCACAAAGATTTAAAAAAATCCAGAAACGAGTCGCTTAAGCTTTCCCAACAATATCTTGTGGCACCATCTGTTATCATAATTTATTTACAAAACTTGTTATATTTTTAACTATTATAAAATGGAAAAGGCTTAATTTAGAGATTAGAGATAGATTTTATAAAACATTGTAATAATCAGTAAAATCGTTATTAAATCCTATCCTACTAAAGATACACACTTCTTTACCTCCCACCCCCTTGGCATTTAATCACCACAATTTAATAGCATCAATCCGCCTGATAAACAAACCACTCTACAAAATTTCAAAAATTTCCGACAAAAAGCATAGGGTTTATTAAGCTTCAAACAGGGTAAACGAAATCGTGTCCCCCCCTGTTTGATGTTAGTGTATGTCCCGCACACACACTAACATCAAACATCTATACACACACAGGAAAAAACCTGAAATCTTTTGCATTTCTTGACGTTTTAAGATGTCCTAAGCCCAAAAATGTAAAAAATCTTGGAAAACATTTTTTTGACCTATCACCATACTTTTGCTCTGTTACGTATATACGCTATAACAGCCGAGAAAGTAAAAATGGGTTGTTCACAAGAATTTTTCTTCTTTACTTAATATATTATATAAAGTAGAGCGTCGATTATCCGAATCAATTGGGGACTGGAGTTGTTCGGAAGATCGATGTTTCGGATAACCGATTGTGTAAGGAAAAATATATTAATTTATCCCATCTTGGCATTTTTCTCCATCGCGTGTCGCTTCGCGTTGAATTTTCGTGATGTTAAGCCTAACGAAGACTATTGTATCGTTAAAAATTATTTTTTTGTTTTATACGAACAAAATAAATATATTGATAAATATAAAAACAATAAAAAATAATACTTCAGAAGTTAATTTAGTATCAAAAACGTAAAATATTTGAGTAGCCCAACACATAGCCAAAGATTGCAGCGCCACAGCATTGGAGAAAATTTAAATTTTCCGACAGGAATTCTTTCGGATGATTGACTTTCGGATAATTGACGCTCTACTGTATATATATATATAAATATATATATTACCAGTTTTAACTGAATAGCCGGCTTTTAGAGGCGACTCCCCGCCTATAGAAGACCGGTTTCTATCGGAAATTTACGATATTCAAACATTTATCGAAGATATCAAATACATATTCCTTCATTTCAATGCTCACATCTTTATTTTCCACACCACTTTATTCTGAAACGTTAACTTCACTATTTTTTTTTTTGGCTAATCATTATTTCTTAATAGTTAAAATTATTAATTAACATGTCTTCAACTACAGATGTCTATGTCGTTTTAATTAATGCAAATTGCAAAACCTCTATAACAGAGTTAACTGTCATTAAATTTTATAATTATGAAATATTTATTATTAGATTGCTCAACTACAGTTGATAAACGAAGCGTTCAATAAATTATTTTAATTAATTTTTAATCTCTTATTTCAGATTGGTAGAGTATCACAAAAGCTATAATAAAATGATAAATAATTTTTCAGATCAATAAAGGTTATACTATCGTTGGCAATTTTAAATCATTGAATACATCAAATGAAGAAGATTTGCTTAAAGTTAAGAATTGGTATATGCTTTTGTCTCAGATCATATTTTCTGTACTTAAGTTGAAAGAAAACAATAAGGAAAAATTAATTGAAAAAATGATTGATTTACAAATATCTTTAAGCGATGTAAGTATAATTATAATTTTTATAACGTTAACACTTGATAGATAGATAAGTAAACTAATGAAATTCTTATTTAATTACTGAAATGCTTTATTAGCAACAATAAAACAGATAATTACTGAAAATCTATAAAATATAAAACACTGAATTTATACAACTAAGATTTTTTCACTTAGATTTGTTTCTTTTTTTAAAGAACATTAGGTTATCCAGGTGTACATGAGACATCCAGACTAGGAATCCTATGTAGATTTTCAGTAATCTTTATGGTTTATATGACTTAGATCATTATTCCTCGTCTGTAGTTCCTACTAGCCTATTTCCTCTTCAGTTAAATAAATATTGAAACGAAACTGCTGAGCGTATTCATTTTGTTACATTAACAAATCAATTATTTCAATATACAGTTTACCTTTCCTATCTCTATTTATCTGACTTATTGAGTACGCGCTATTGGATATCATAATAAAAATTATGATACGAGTCCTTTAGAAGATAAAACATCAAGTTAGGTGATTCTGCTTGAAATTTGAATCTATTTCCTGCTATTTTCCACGCAGCAATTATACTGAATTATAGTAATTAAAGTACTCCTACTCTATCCTGACAAGAAAAATATATAGCAGTCTAAAAGGAAGCAAATCTGGCATGGTTATATTTTATGATATGCGAGAGATATTTTCATTTAAAACAATTAGTACCAAAAGTCACTACTGTGGCACTTTTGACACAGGATTGTTTTGCAAGCAACAAACATATTACCTGCATAAGTCATTATGCATATAGAAACCATTTAGGGATAACGATGTAGGGAATCTGTAAATGTGGTTTTCATTCTAACGGTGTAAGAGACGATAAATAGCGATATTGAAGATCCTGAAGGCGATAAACACTGTATTCAACAGCCGATCGTAATTCATTCTCTATGATGATTCTCACATGCAGTGTCATACTGTATTTCAAGATTGCCAAATTTGCAATTTCCTTGATAAATCACACTTTTTAAGTCTTTCCACAATTAAAAATCACTCGAATTAAGATCGGGGAACGATGTGATCAGGCGGTAGAAACGCAGGACTAATCACTATTATTGATGAATTTTGTAGAAACAGCTGTAAGCAATACAATTTGCATAGATATAAGTGAATAAGTGCCTATAAAGAAAAGTCACCTTGGATAATGTTAATTTTGTTCCAGTGATTGTGAATGGACAATCAGAAGACATCAAAAATTATTTTTTGTATTTAGTCCTTAATATTTCGTTCTGAATATTGTAATCTGCGATAAACAGCGTTCATCATGCACGAACGGTTTCGTCCGTGTTGCATTTGGAGTACGATAAAAATATTGAGTGCCTCTCAGGGCTGTCACAGTACACATCATACAGAACTAGTTTCCTCGAAGAAGAATGGTCCAAGGATAAATGTTGTTCTGAATCAAGATTAGACTGTAATTTTTTGTGAGTGCTGGGAAATCTGCTGGAAAACGTTAAAGTTTTCAATGGCGATATTTGTGTGTCTTTACTTTTCCAAACAGATGAAAATGTGCCTCGTCCTACAGGATTTCCGTGGACACTTCTATTTTATCAAGAAAGGCCGAAGTAAAGGTCGCGACTTTGTTAGTGAAAACTGCAGAGTAGCTAATGTTACACGTATACCAATGCATAAACTAACTCGGTACAAATCTAAATTATGCCATTGGGTGCACCCAATGGCAAAATTTAGATTTGTACTTGTATTAGTGGGATAACATTGTTTACTGAGTGTTCAACAACTGCTGTGATAACAGCTTTAACGAGTTGGGAAGTAATAGGTTTATGCCTTTCATCGGATAAATTTTCAGTCATCCGATTTCCTCGAATTTACTAATCATTCTCTTAAGAAGTTATGGAATCAGTGGTCTTCGGTGAAAATTTTTTGATGGCAGAATTTTCGAAGTGCAGCCTCTGAATTGATTTTGTTTTCATAAACAACTTCACAAGAAATGCTCATTTCAACAAATATTGTAACTAATAAGAATAACATTCAACAATTGTGACAAATTTTATACCCAGAATTAGACAGCAACACGTGTACTTACTGAAAGGAAATTTGCTTTTACTTTATTTTCAGCGCCAAAAGTGTCATAATAGAGAGTTTTAGTTTTGATTTTTCACAGATCTTTCTCACGTTTTACAATATTACCATAACATATTTGGTTGAATTACACAAGTGAATATTTTTATAGACAGCATAGAGATACTTTCATTACCATCAACTAGTGTTTAACAAAACTGAAACCCGTCATCATTTATACTGTATCCAAATTAAAGAACTAGAATAACATAGGCCAAACGACTGAATAAAGTGTTAACAGTAAGAACCAGATTACCAGAGAAAGAAGAGAATGGATTAAATTAATTACTCCAAAAGGTGTAACATCGTATAAATTATGTTTTTTCATAACTCTTTTTTCTCTGTGGGCTCTAAGAAAGCAATGTTTTTTAACAACCCTCTTATTGATTCGGATAGCCATATACTGGAAACGTCGGGTAGTGAGGGACGAGACCCAACATATCCAGACGGTCCATCTACACAAACTTCATGGGATTTTAACATATCTGTGTGGATTCGATTCCGGATTTCCCAGAACGGCCCACTTCCACTTAATCGCTCGGCTATATGGCCGTCGATTTATATGATCTGTCTGAAATTTATTTTAGATAAACTGCGCTTTATACTAAGGAAAAACGAATTAACATCCTAGTCAATAAATGTCGATCAAAGTGCAATAGTAGCATAAAACATTATATTATTAAAATTAAAAATTCTTTAATGAAATAAACTATGTACTTGATGTATTGTTTTTTATCCTCTTATCTTTTTAAGTTGCTTAATTTGTCCTGTTTCTTTTTTGAATTATCGTTTATTTATCGTTGTTTTATATTTAACAAGTTGTATAATGTTAGATTTTTTCCTGAATATTTCAGATACTACAGAAGGAAAGGAAAGATAATTTCACAAAGCTAACTATTTCACAATTAGAAACTGATTCTGATTGTAACCAGGTATTTAAAATTAAAATAATAAATAAATAAACATGTTAATAATTACTTAATAATTATTGTAGTATATATGTATTTAGTTTAGATGGACAACTTTCTTTAAAAATCTATATAAATACTCAGGTCGTCCGGATAATTATAGTGATACTACTCTAGTGAAAGTACAGAGCATGGATTATATTAAGGACATTTGCTCATTCATAAAAGAAAACGATCGAAGGTACGTTTTAATATTAAGTATAATTTATTTTGTTCAGTTGCTATATTTTAAAATATTTCTACAATGGAATTTAAAGTATTTTTTCAATGAATATAATATCGAAACAAACATCTTGCTTCCAGTATCACTCTCCATGCATCATACATTATTATTGATATATTTTCTTTCTACTCCCTAAGTCTTCTAGCCGAGTTTTTCAAAACATAATGCATCTGTGTTGTAGTAGTCTATGAGAACTTTTTACTCTTATTCTCGGTAAATATAAGTAGCAATTTATAAATAAATTATCAGATTGTACTATTCGTAGTATTGTCTAGTTCGATAATATTGGTTATTGCTAACAACTGCAAATATTACTTTGAAAGCCATTTCATACTTGTAGTAATAGTTTCAGTATTCGTGTAGTATTGACTGTTTTAAATTATTGTATAACTTGAGTGTTACTTAAAAAATAATTGTAAGGTTGCTTTTTTGAAACTATCTCATTAATTGTACAGTGCGTTTAAAAAAATCCAAAAATCAACTTTTTGGATGAGATTACTTGTTTTTTGGATTTTCTTAATGTGTCCAACATCTACATAGGCCCATTTTTCCATACAAAGTTTTCCTAGAAGTCATTCCCCTAGCAGTCTCCCATGTGTTGCTTTGTCTTATTCCACCAGTCTGGTCTTTTGTAATAGATTCTATCTATTCATATACAGTAGAACCTCCATTATCCGGATTTTCGATTATCCGGATTGTGCAAAATAAACAAAAATTTTACGAATTTGCTGATTTGCACTTGGCGAATTACGACACTGTTTATGTACGTGATGGAATGCATAACTTTTTTTGTTTCAACAACGTCTCACCCAGCACAGTGGTCGTAAACTCTTAAATATATTTTACGTAGTAATAAAAATATAACTTGACATACGTATTTATAAATAATTTATATTCAAATTACATCATTTCTATGACCAAGGGCGGCGTAAGGCATGGACGACGTGGGCCACCGCCTATGCCTCGCGGTCCGAAGGGCCTCGCGCCTCGAAGGTTTATGCATTACTTAAAAGCCGCGAACGCGACGAAAAAATTTTACTCGTCATAAAACGATAAATAGTTTGTCAAATTTTTATTCATAAAAATGCAGTTTCAACTGCTTTTTATTTTATAAAATCCGTCTTCTTGCGCCACCAGAGGGCCTTTTAAACAATAGGTAGTCTGTTAGCGTTGGTCAGTAGTAGTCCAAATTCAATACGAACGTTTGTTTCTTGAAAATTTGATCACGATTTAAATACAGTATTTACTTTTAATATTACCGATATGTCATCGAAAAGAAAACGTGTTGTATTATCATTAAAAGACAAATTAAAGTATTTGTTTCGATTATCCGGATTTTTCCTTATCCGGACTACCTTCATCCCCAATTAGTCCGGATATTCGAGGTTCTACTGTACTTTATCTAAATCTCAGATACCCGCAGTGTACTGTTTAGTGTACTATACATCTTATTTTATAATTGGTTTAATTAAAATGTCAGTCACTCTGAAATGAAAGTGAATTCGCATAACATCTTTCTACATGTTTTCATTCTAATGTAAGCCTGTATGATAAAGATACCTTTTATATATAAATAAAATAGATTTTGTTAGAGATATATATTTTATAAAGATATAAAGAGCCAAACGAAAACATCTGAGATGTAAAAAATTGCGCAAAGTAAAAAGTTATGACAATTTGAATAATGGTCAAAGTTTTTTAGGAATTTTTTTTTGCTAAAGGTAAATTTGGCGCTTCAAAGCGAAATGTAAAAACATTAATACAGATAAGAATCTTGTGGGTACCTCTTCGACACGAAAATCGTAGACGGAACACTTTCAATACGTCGTTAGTAAAATCGTTATAAGAAGTTTTAATTCGCTTTTGAGCTTTAATTAAATTTGAGTTTTTTGTTATTCTGGATAACATTTTGAATGAAAATCATTCGTTTCCATACAATTTTATTCTTATAAGCGTAAAAATAAGCCATAAAAGTAAATTAGCTCTATGGGGAACTCCATGAACTTTGGCCTATTGATCCAGAAGTTTTGCCGGCACCTCACTGATAACGAGAAAGGCTTTAGTTTAAAATTTGAGCTTTATAGGCCCAGTACCTTTTCTCTACGAGCGTCTGAAGTGTCGGATGTAGAAAAGGACGAAAGTAAAGCTTTTGGTGATTTTTGCACTTTCCTTTTTTGCTTACATTTTAGTACCCTCTTTACAGAAAAACTTGAAGTTTTGCACACTACCTTAGAAAACAAATATCTTTCGAACAAGATATTCAAACTTACTACAGGCGTTTCGACCCCGAAAAATACAGAATTCAATTACAAAATTTTAAAAGTGAAGTAATAGTGATTACAATATTATTGCCGTATATCTTTCAGATAATTTATATTTTATTTTGTACACAATTTATCAAAACTTAAGTGTTGTTACCAACTAGCTGACTATAATAGAAAGTCTAAAATGAAGTATTTATAGTATAGAATAAGGAAATCTCTAATCAGGGAGATAGAAAGTCTTCATGCTTCCTATGAAGACTTTCTATGAGAAAATGATCCCTATTTAGATGATATACACGTAAAGATAACTCGGAAAACTCTGTGATCAGATATTGGTCGGATCGAAACAGGAGACTTTAGTGATTTTAAACACTGATTGGCCTAAAGTGTAATTAAGTCTATTATCAGGAGAAAAAAACTTTGTTGTTCTTTTGAATTTCTAGTTTTTCTTTATTTAATAAGTGAAATAGTATAAGATTTTTAAATAAAAAATAATTAAGTATCTTAAAAATCTTTATTTATAATACAGCTTCAAATAGTTGTAGAATAAAAAGTTATAAAACTAAAAAGTTTTCTAAAGTAATTAAAATGAATTGTTTTTTTAATCTTTTTTATGTTCAATAATATCTATATAATAAATTTATATTGCTTTAAACTTATACAATTCTTTCCAATTAGGGATATGTATAACTTAATTATTTGGAATGCTTTGCTAAGTCATTTATCTGAGGAAAATAAAATAGTTGCAAGTATTATTGAAAACATATTTCAATCTTCTTCCAAGAAAAATGTTTCGATGAGAACTTCGATGAAATGGGAATCTTGCATTGAAAATATGCCACTTGTACTTGATATTGGCTTACAAAGTCTACGGCTAAAATATGACTATGATAATATTAATGAGAAAATAGCAAAGGTAAAGTTTCAAAATATGTCCAAACGTTATGATGTAAAATTTATTTAAATTTTAAATTGTAGTTAAAGTTTAATGATGAAAAATCAATTATAGGTAACTTTCATTTAGTACGGTCTTTTTTTAAGTGAAGTATACTTTTGATAAATTATTTTTAAATTAAATGCTAATTAATTCAAAATTTTTTTGTTGATAAAGCTTCTACAATAAGACAACGAGCATTAATAACATTATCGAATTATACTAGTATCCCATAAAAACTAGTGGAAACCAGGTTGAAAAAGTAACGATCAGCGAAAACATCTAAATAAAGGAAACTTTTGAAAGTTGTGACATAAGAATACTGGAAGCAGATTTGACAGCAAGACTCAACACGTGAACAAAATGCACATTATATAGACTGCAACTACAGGAAGAAGAAGTTTTGGATGAAGTAATGTCACCATGATAATAAATCGGAAATTTAAGTATCGTCACAGAAGCTTTACTTTTTGCTCCACGCTTTTTTTTACTAATATTGCTCAAAGATGTTTAACGTTCAGCAAAATTAATGTAGGCGCAACGACTTTAAATCACAAAGTAAAGCTCGAAAACTTTTTCTGAGACGATGCTTATTTTTTCGATTTATTATTGCGGTGAGATTGCTTCATTTAAAACTTCCTGTACTTATAGTCTGTGTAATGTGCATTTTGTTCGCATGTTGAGTCTTATTGTCAAATCTGTTTCCAGTATTCTTATGTCACAACTTTCTAAAGATTCCTTTATTTAGATGCTTTCGCTGCGCTTTATATTTTTAACCTTGATTCGCCAGTTTATTTGTGAAATTTCAAGTATTCTTTCAATTATCAATAACTTAATAATTTACATGATAAATCTATTTATCTGACAGTCACTTGATAGCCTGTAGATTTTCCTCAAGGTCCCAGAGAATAAGTATGAAAAATTTCGTGCAGATCGACCAAAAAGCTAAGGAAAAAGAGAGATGAATATTGTCTCATCTAAATAGACAAAATCTATATCTATATACAGTGGTAGACAAAAGGTCTTAAAACGCGGATGGTCAAATTTGACACCATTCCAATACTTTCTCTTGTTATGTATACACAACAGTTGGGAAGCTAAACTGGACATTATTTTATAAATATTCTATTTTTAAATTATTATAATTGTATTAATTAAGAGATTAACGTCATGTTACGTCAGGCGTAGCCAACATACGGCCCGTCTAATGAATTTATGTGACCCACGATTAGTCTTTCAATATTAGCTACTCAAGTCCGAATAGCTCGGTGAAAAATTCTGACTCCTAAAAAAAGAAAAGGTCAACAACAATTCACTGTGCATTTAGACTTAACCCATCATTACAAATCTCTTAAGTACAGCGTAGAACGTTGATAAGGCATGATAATGTGAAAAATGTATCTGTAATCTCTATGTACTGTACAATTTAGTTTCTATGGAGTGACACCACAATGAGATCTCGCACCACCTCAAAATCTTCGTAGGGCAGCCTCTGGTACGGCCCGTGAAAAAAGTTTTCTTTCCAATTCGGCCCGGGGGCAAAAACTGTTGGCCACCCCTGTGTTACGTGATGGCTGATTAACCAATAATATGTTAAAATTTTAAAAAATGAGCTGTTATTTTATAAATACTCAATATTTTTAAATAAAACTTTCAAAAGGACTACAAAAGAAGTAGTCAGCCCTCGAAAGAGCTATTAAGCATACGCAGATTCCTTCTAGATTCTTCAGTGTTCAGTGTTCGCATTGTTTCTCGTAAATCTAGTGAAATAAGCGACAAAACGTCTATTGTGTAAGTCCGAAACGATCCAACGAACTTATTCAAAATTTATTACGTTCATAGTACACATCGTGGACACTAAATATTTTAAATTTTATCCATATTGGTTCATTAGTCTTGGAGTCGTGTAAATAACATAAGTGTCCTGCCCACATGAGCACACCTAGTTATTTTTAGTAACATGTTATTGATATTATAGTAATACACGTAAGAGAGGCTGATCGCAAGCGATTAGCATTTTACATATTTGTGAAGTTTAAGTAAATTTATCTGACTGATTTCCAGAATCTACGTTATTTGAGTGCGAAAAGCTATGAGAAAAAGCCCCGGTTCTGTGGTCTACATTATATTTTATGTTCTCTGTCCGAAGTAGAAAGCATTCGGCTGTAGCACTGCCGATTCTCGCTCTCGGTCTTTGTGACATTAGAATATGTAGTTATACACTGGTACACAGTACAAATTTATTAAGGGTACACCTAAAGAAATTTTAAATTTGTTTGGTTTTTTCGAGAATTTCTATAAACGTAAAAACAAAATAAATAAATATTAGAAAATAAACAGATAATTTAAGTAAGTATATTAAACAACCCAAAGATCTATAGGGGAGACCGGGGCAACTTCGGCATGCGGGGCAAGTTTGTCAAGCGCTTTTTTTTAAAAACAAATTAAAAGGAGACTTTGGTTATAGGTTAGGCAGTTGAGTTTTATTGGTGGCTTGTTGAGTGTAGTGTTTTTATTGTTCTCCAACAAGCGTAGTTGAATTATCAAGCAAATTTTCATTTTCGTTCAATTCCATATAATATTTTTTTTCCATTTATATTGAATTGGCAGGTTTTGTTATAATTCCATAATAACGAAAGTTACTTTTCCTGTTAGAAGGATGTAACTTCAACTTATTCACGTGGCCAGATCGTGGCTTGGCATTCTGTTCTCAGGGTTGTACTTAATGTTTCGAAATCATGACTAGCGGGGTAAGATCGGCAACATAAAGCCACATTAGAAGCAAAGGATAAAAATCAAACAGATGATAAATGAAAACATGTTTGCATTTGTTATTCATGTATATATGTCTTTGAACTTGCATTTCGTTGTAATAATATTAAATGGGTGTTGGATTTGTATTTCTTTGTTTTAATAGTGAATTCCAACTTATACATTGTTAATAACATAATTTTATATACGTGCCTATCTTGCCCCATTACTGTTGCCCCTATACCAGGGGCAACTTTAATAAAAATAATTAAAATAATTACAACTTTACAAAAAGAGAGAAGTTGCCGATCTTGCCCCTATACCCGGGGCAACTTCGTCAATTTCTCTTTTCTTGTAAAGTTGTAATTATTTTAATTATTTTTATTTCCAAACTGATTTTAACCAGTTCTATAGTAAGGTAACATTCCAATAGACAATATGCAAAGCTTTTTTTTCAGTTTACAGCAGTATTTATTACACAAAATTTAAGTAAAGCTTAACATGCCGATCTTGCCCCGGTCTCCCCTATATGTATACTGTATAGCCAAACGATTGCCTTAAATACTCGGGCTTATGGCTATGAAAAGTTTTAACTGAAATAAGCGAGAGTTATTAAAAAAATTAAAAATCTTAGTTTAAAAATTTAATTTAATGGAACGTTATTTTGGTGCTAAAATTTATTACTCGAAATTAAGGGTACTCTGGGGTAGCCTATAAATTCGCTTTAGCCTAAATTTTAATTTAAAATATTTCTAGGAATGTGTTAAATATATTGTATTACGTAATATAAATCAGCAAAATTTTGGGTAATTTGTCTATTATAAATGAAAAAAATCGAGAGAAATTAATATATTACAATGTGATAGAAAAGATCAATTGAACTTTGACAAGCGCTCCGATAGATTTGCGAACTTTGACCTTGTATATTTCCGGTCATAGGTCGAATTTTAAACTGCTGTTTGCGTCACGACCTAAACCGAGATGTCTTCTATTTGTATGAAGAAAGTTAATTTAAATCGGTTAAGCGGTTTCGAAGGAGTCGATCGTCACGCAAACGTCAAAGACGTCGCTAAAGAGAGCTCCGCTCAATAAGCATAAGCATCAGTTTTAATTTTGGTCTTCAGATATTGAGATTGTGAAGAATTTTTTTAAGAAATTTCGAGACAGATCTCTAATTGAAGACATGTAATATGACAATCTTAAATATTATATAGTTTTTATCGTGTTAGTTCTATTCTGAATAAAAATAGACCTGATTTAATTAGATAGCTTATTTGTAATAAATGAATTATTTTATTAACAGCATATTTATTAATTTAAGAAACATAAAATCTTTTAAATCCAGCAATTTCTTATATCTAAATAAATACACTATTTTAATTATTTTGTAATTATTTTATTTTATGTAGTTTATTTAACATTAAAGTATATTGTAAAGATTAATTTGTTCTTCATTAAAAGTGTTAAGAGTGCGAACAAAATTAAACTGATATACTTTAGTTTATATAATGGAGTAGTATACCACTATCAATAAACCTGATATTTTACAGAAATGTAACACAAGTTTCTTTTTTATTCGTTTTAGATAGCAAATTATACGATAGAGATAATGAATATCGCTGATGAAACTTTCGCCAAAGAAAAGTGGTTGGATGATGATAGTAGGAACTTCACTAGATTCAAAGTATATTTTTAAATTTAAATTATAAATTTCAAAATATATGATTCTTCAAAAAATGTTGGACTTTATTTATATTTTCCTTTTGTTCACTAGATTCAAAGTTAAATTGTAAATTCGGGAGATCGATTAAAATATATTTATAGACCATTACTGGATTTCAGGTATACAACTGTAAAATTTACATCATTTTTTAAAATGTAAATTAAATATTTATTCTAGTTTTATCTGTAGTATAAATAATGCAAATTAAGTAGTAAATAAATTAAGCAAATTTAAAAAGACACAAAATCATAAATTAATGAGCAAAGGTATAAAAAGTATGTACCATTCTATTAATTGGAAAATGATAGAAGATAGCTTATTTAGCCTACAAGTAGAAGATTGGATAATTGGACTTATAAATTTTACTTATAACGTTATAAAAAAAACTGTTGAAAAGATCAAAGTAATTTTTATTATATTCATTATTTTAAAGTGACTATTCTTTTTAAAAGTTTTTTTAAAATTATATATAAATATACCTTCTTAAATACATTTTAATCGATCTCCCGAATTTACAAATTAACTTTTTAACAAAAGGAAAATAAAAATGAGATTTAAGTCCAATATGAAGATTATGCAGAAACACTAGAATAAGTACTCAACTTCTTTTTTCTAGTAATTGTCTCTAGATATATTTATATTTAAATTTATATAGTCTACATTATCTGGCATGGGCGTCCGCAGAAAATTTTCCAGGGTGACAAAATTTCAAAGCAAATAATTACGTAAATAAAATTTTATTAATAGTTAAATTTTTGGGGGTTTCTTTTACAAATAGATTGTAGAATACAGTACCGGCATTGTATCAATACAAAAAGGCAGACAAAACGTCTAATAGGCGAGAGTGTAAGGTTGCACATCTCAATCAGATTTACGGTTATAATTTGTGGAATTTTTTACTCGATCCCAAGGAAGGGCAAAAGTTTCGTCTGCCCCCTCTCTGCGGACGCCCATGGTATCTGATTTTATATATACTGTATACATAATTAATTTGTTATGATAACGTCGCATCACCGTAACAACCAACACTACCTAAATATATCCTATAATTACGCCGTGTTGTTCCAGCCTAGCTTTTATTCAGTGGCAGTTCGGGGCGTTTTACCTCTAATGTTTATCATTGCCGACAGAAGTCAGATTATCTAGTCGAAGCTCGGGCATTCTATATAGAATTAATTTGAACGCATTACTCTTGTATCATTGCCATGCTCCTCTCCGCATTGCATACAAATGTCATATGTATTGCGAATTGTAGGTTCTATATTACCATATCCTTCGTCATCAAAAAGTTCTTCGGGTGCGACATCCTTCTCTGCAATTCCGACCAGTGATGATCGAACTTACCCTAAAATGCCATGTTAGAAATGAGTTATCATTATTTTGGTTGTGGTTATGGTATTAATCTTCGACTTACCTGTAACTAATCAGTAAAATCTATACTTTCATGCATTGTGACAATTATTATTGTTTGCAAAAAGTTTATAGCTTACCTCATAATAAATAATAATATACTTTCCTTACAGTTTTTCTTTCTAAAAGTTTACTAAACATAAAAAGTTTGTTCTACCTGTTTTATGATTCTTTTATTATGTTCTAAGTTTACGCAAGTATTAAAAGTGTTTTCTGCTACAGACCAGCATAGAGCAGGTAATGCACGAGCTATCAACTTTTTAGATACAAACTGATTGAAATTCCCTCCACTTGACTATCTTTTCGTGATGGGTTTGAAAAGAAGCTTAAAGGTATCTTAACCGATAATTTTCATATATTTTCTTTATTCAGATCCTGGTTATCTGTGTTTTGCGTATATTTTTATTGTGGATTGTTTAATGATTTTTCATAATTACAGTTAATTACTGTATTCTTGTGTGCGTGTATGATTGTAATAAAGATGGGCTATATACCTTTTTTTATATACTTGACTAGAAATTTGAAAATATTATTTCTATTTTATTAGTTTATTTTCCTTTTAAAATTATTATTTTTTTTAACTTTTTCATTTTGCATTCATAAGTCCATTTCGTAGATGGACGTTAAAAATGAATCAAAAATCAAGACATGAAAGCAATTTGCATAACTACAAAACACGTGTAAAATATTATTAGAACTAAAATTAAAGCTGGTAATTTTGTTTGTGTGTTTTATTAATGCAAATTATAAAGATAGAATTAGCTAATTTATACGAATGTAATTGATAATAGTATATTCAAATGTAGGTTAAAAATATGGGATATGAAATTGGATATGACGATGTATTGCTAAATGAGACATTTTTGAATAAATTATTTGACTTGGTAAGTATTAATTATTAGTATTTGCTATTATTATGTTTTAGTTTATGTATTTCTTTATTTTGAACTGTAGTAAAATCATTTTTATTTTGGTATATGTTACGTATATGATATACAGATGTTCCATGTCTGGTTCGATAGAAGTTATTTTGATAATAAATATCCACAGTCAACGTGAATTTGTAAAATGTTTAACAGGCTACATCCAGACCGCGTCTTTGATTGATAGAAAGCCTCGACACAGCCTTTTAAAGTTCTCGGAAACTACACCGCGTACTGAGGGTCTTTACCATTAAAATAATTTAAATTCGGCCCACGCGGAACGGTGGGCCGAATTTAAATTATTTTAATGGGGGAACTCCCAGTGTTTAGGCAACGGAACCGCGGCTGAGCGGTTCCGTTCCCTAAACACTGGGAGTTAGGTCGTGGGTTCGCGCCTCTCCAGAACGGGCTGACAACGTAGAATTTTCCGGATTTTATCCACGTCTGTAACGCCTGAAGAGGGGCCAGTTACCCTTAAAAAGATCTTCCGAAAGGCAATTTACAACAAATAATATATATATAACTACTAACCACGTCTCATCATATGTCCATCGAAAAACTTACCACGTTGTGCCATAGCCTAGTAGCTCTCGCCCAATATACAAGACAACTTAAATTCTTAAATAAAAAATATAAACATCGACATAACTCCTACGGGCTAGGCTTGGGGACACCATGTATAATGATGACGACTGGATTTTAACAAAATTTTGAAAGTATTTCCATATGATTGATTGAATATTATCATTGTCCCTTGTCTCGTTAGTTATCCCAGATAAAATCCCAATATGAATGTCATTAATTTCCATGGGCATTTTGAATCGTCTTGCATCATATTTAGGCCTATTATTAATGTTCGCCTACCCGATTATTTCATTTGCAAATTAGTAATATTTATAATGGATAAATATTACTAATTTGCAAATGAAAAACACTATGAAAAAAAAACAATCTAAGAAAAAAGTAATTCGAATCCGAGAGATTTTTTTAAATTTTTTGTGCCCACAGAGCAAAAAGAATTTTATGGGCCTGTTTTCATCAATTTCATTATGGGTTCGGCCACGCTCACAAAGGGGCTGTCGGATGGTGAGGGATGGGTCTTGACATATCCAGGCGGATCACTCCAGAAAAATTCCTAGGGCTTTTCGAATTATCTGGATTTAATCTCGGCTCCTCAGAGTGGTAAACTGCCACCTTAACTGCTCGGCCATCCGTAAATAAAAAGTTGTTTAGTGACTAAATAAAATTAGCCGCATAATTTTTCCTTTATTAATATTAGTAATGTATATTACAGTTTTGATTCTTATACTTGATAATGTTGTTCTTTTACATGAATACAGTTATAATTATCATTTATTAAAATGAACAAATGTTTTCAGATAAATGTCACAGATATTTATATTCAGAATACTTTTGAGGCCAAGAAGTTTATGTTTATTGATTCTTTCTTTATGGGAAACTTATCTAAAGCTCTAGAGGATGAAGGGTATTATAAATTCTATGATTTCTTTAATATATAAAATTGAATGTATGAAGTTTAGAAGATTCATTATGATTTATAAGATGTCAGAGGGTAATTTGAAAATACGATTTTTCTTTCAACAGTATTATATATCCATATGTAGCCAATGCCTTTTTTATGCATTCAGGAGAAGACGAATATATAGGTAAGCATTTTTCATATTTAAAAACGCTAAAACATTATCAGAATGCCTTTGTAAATTTAACTTTAGGTCAGCGGTTTCCAAACTAATAAGACTTAAAATTCAAAAGATATTTGCGGATTCCTATATATTTGTTGCATTTTTTATTTTTTATTTTACAAACTTTTTATTTTTATTGCCTATACAATATTCTTGCCAAATTCACGATATTGTCATTTCCGCAAAGTTACATTAGCCTAATATTATTGTAAGCTTAAAGCATACATTATCTTTCGTTTTCGTTTACCGTTGTTTTAAAATTTCTAATTTTGAAGATTTTGCTGTAACTACTTACTACTTTTATTATACATGCTTAAGCCCTAATCTAGCATTTAATATAACATGTACAGTACAGTATTATTTCGAAAATACATTAACTGATCTTTAATTAAGAAAATACTGTACTAAATTTTCTTTTAATATTTTATAAGCCATAATTCAATGAGCAAAATAAATGTCGGCATCTTATTAGAAAAAAATCTAAAATGGCGATTTCGTGAATTAGGCAATTTAAAATTAACTTACTTCGTAAAATAGGCAGAAAATTTCTCTTATTTTTTAATCGGTTTATCTTGCCGATTAAAAACACTATATATAGAGACTATATATTAATCCTATATAGGCCTATTAATTAAAACTATATACTGAGAAACTATATAGATTTTTTTATAGTTTACAAAATGAGCAACATATACAGTATACAAGGTGAACTTAATTAATTTAAAACTTCTACTTGTGAAACGTGTAACATTCAATACTTAAAGCGCGACTATGCAAACCGTGAGTGAGCGAGAATATGTGGCGAGAAGAGGTGATGACGTTTCACGCTCTCTGTTTCTCGCTCACGTTTATTATGACCACACAGACGAGAGCGTGAACCGTCATCACCTCTTCTCGCCACATATTCTTGCTCGCTCGCTTCTGCATAGTCGCATTCTTAGCGGAATAATCTTTTGGTTTAGTGATTATTTTTTACTTTGTTGTTCGTTTTGCTTGTTGTTTCCTGGTGTATATGTGGATTTTGGAGAAGCCTGATGACAAGGCCTGTAATATAAATTTTAAATAAATAAATAATACTATTGCAATGTAAGAGTATATATTAAAATAGGTGATAAATAAGTTGATGGACTATCAAACAATAAAAACTTCGATTTTTAATTTGATCGTCCAGAAAAGTAAGATTAAAATTTACAAAAGTATTATTTTCAAATAGCACTAATAAATGATGCCAAGAATGAAATCTGAGCCAAGAAGATTGACTCAGATTTCAGTCTGTAATCTGACAACATTACTTTTTTCATAAAGTAAGGGAAAGTGGGGTTTGAGGCCCAGCGGGTAATGGGGCCCTCTGTTCTTTGGCTAAACGGTTAAGAATTTTCATTCCCAACAGATGCTTGGGATTGAAAATTCTGGACCGAATACACATCTAGCAGCTGCAGAGCCAACTTCGAATTCTGAATATGGTGGCTGTTCTGTGCACATGCCTGATTGTATGAGGAAAAAACAGTTTTCTTCTTCTTTCTTCTCATTAGAACACTATCATTTGTTCGACTGTAAGTACTCTTGTATAAAACTTATTGTTTCAATAATATATATTAATGGTAAACTATTCCTTCAACTATTAAAATACATATGAAGAAAAGATTTACTTTATCTCTTTGTGTCTAGTCAAGGTTAGAAACATAAAATGGCGTAAAGGGGTAAATGGGACTCAACAAGAATCAGATGATAATGAAGACGATGACATAGATGCAAGCAATGGTAATAATAACTGCATCATTTGTGGAGAATTTGGTAGAAACAAAGAATTGTGGTACAGATGTACTGTCTGTGCTGTTTGGGCACATTCTGAATGTAGTGGGTTTGATTCTCCAAATGATTACATTTGAAATTATTGTATCGACTGATTAGTTTTTAATTTAAAGCGCTTGAACTTTTCATTAAACACAAACTATTTTGAAAATAATACATATATAAAAAGTTAATCATTTATATTCAAAAACTTAAGTTTTCTAGTTTTTGAACAAACATTTCTAATGTTTCAGTCTTTTTTCAATGTTTTTATATAATGGTTCTTTTACCCCTGCTGAGTAATGGGACTCAGTGAAATGTTTTGTTTTTTTATCATTAAGACAATATGGTGAGAAATACTCAAGTTTTGATACACGCACTTTATTTCTTAGAGTCCATGTTTGTATCATTCAAAAAACTTCTCATAATATTGTTAAGTTTTCTTAATAATATGCAAAATACTTTAGGTATGCTCCATTCCCCTACTTTCCTCTAAATTTAACATACGATTTCATAAATCAATTAGGAATTTTAATGAAAATTTCGTTTTCATGAAAATATTTTTGATTGTAGAATTAGTTTTACTAAAATTAAAAGTTAATAATTAGTCTATTATATGCTGACATTTTAATCAATATTATATAATTACAGTAATACCTTTAGGAATTTTACAACCGCCATTTTACGCCCACAAAGCTCCTAAGTAAGTACGATTTAATATTATAAATACGGTAATAAATAGACCTATTCAGTTTTTTCCATATTACTCTTTAAGGGTCGGTTATAACTTTGTCATTATTCTAAAGAATAAACTATGCACCAGTTACTTTGTCTTTATAGATAGCTCTCAGCTAATTAGCTGAAAATTTTATCAAGAACATCGGTAAACAAGATGAAGGAAGAGAAAAATGAATAAGCGAAAATGTACAGGCTCTGGACAGACAAAACCCTTTATTAGTAAATTTGGTAGATACTGTGTACAGCATTTTAGTATACAGAGAAATTATTGTTATACAGTTTTATACAGTAAGATTACTCTGTACTCTGACAAGTAATGTAAAACTGCAGTTTATAAATCGAATTCAATTTTAAAAGGTTGCAATTTCACGTATATTTGAAATTTAAAATCACTGTTCAATGCAGTAGGATCTCATACTTCTAAAAATATGCTGTCAGAATAATCTTCGTTTCAAAAATCTAAATAAAGATCTTCCATAGTGGAATTGGAGCAGATCAGCCATCTTGTTTCGTCTCTAATCTAAACAAATAAATTTTACTTGCACAAAATCGACCGATTAACTTATCCAGTAGTTTATCCCAAAAATTTACAACGCATTGAGATTAATTCTATTGATCAAAACTGCAATTTTCCCTAAAAAATTAAAAATTGTTTTAAATATTTTAATTCTGTTTTATATTTTTTAAATTACTGCTCTGATTATTTGATGTATTTCTGTATTATTTTATTTCTATAGTTATCTTAATTATGGAGCAATTGGTTCCGTTATTGGTCATGAGATTTTTCATGGATTCGATAGACTAGGTCAGTATTCGATTTTTTAAATATTTTATTTAATATATGTGTAAATTTAAATACGGTATTGATATTTATTTCAAATTGTTGTGATGAAGCTTTTTAATAATTACCACTGCTTGAAAAACATCTGAACATTTATTTCTTTTCACTGATGTATGTACGTAAGTTTTCATTAAAAAATTAGGAGTTTCCTATTTTTCTCTCACAAGTTAGCACAATTGTCTCTCAATTGTAAATATTCTAGACATAAAAAGAAAAAAAATAGATTATATTTTTTACTGTCTACAAATATATTTCATATATTAGGCTATAATTGAAAACAAAACAGCAATATGGTTATTTTTCTTTATTGCTAGTATAATTCACAGTTAATTCGAGGAGCATGAATGAAGGGTGATAATTCCATCTTTACTTATCATAAATTATGAGATTAAGATCGATTTCGAACCTGAATCTTTAGCGGCAATAGGCTGATTTCCAAGTAGCCTTTGGTCGAAAAGACGTAGTAAGAAATATTTTATATATTCTTTTAAAGTTTGCCGTTTAGTTAATATTAATTGTTGTATACTAATAATATATACTGTAAATAATATAACATAGCTATTTGCTATGTTTTGCTTGCTTATATTGTTATGTAAATTCAACTAAAAAAAAAAAAACATGTACTACTCTGTATTTCAAGTTATTATTATTATATAACATTGTATTTTGAAATATTGAAAAATAATAAACAATATAATAGATTTGTTGGAAGAGAAATAAGTAATATTTGATTAGGTGGAGTTATTGAAGATCGAAATTACAAAATCTTATTACACTAGTGTATTATTATTAGTCATCAGCGTGTTTCCAAATTAAATGTTTTATAAATTAGTCCAAATTATATTCTCTATTTTACTCTGTAACAATTTTTGCATGTAATATTCAATGATTTCATTTTAATATTTTAAAAATTATTCTTCAATTTGTTTTATTTTTATGTTGTTTATATTTTTCAGTTCATTTCCAGTAATTATGAAAGTGATAAAACTTTTATTTTTATCACTTTCATAATTACTGGAAATTATGAAAAAATAATATAACAAAAATAGCCCCATGCGATTTACTCCTAGAACATATTTGGATATAATTCACTGATATGATAAAAGAATCATTTTCGTTCTACTGTACACTATAAGCCTGATAAGATAATTCTTCAGCAGTGAATTCAGAGATAGACCAATTATAGATCACTCAACATTGAAATAGATATTTTAGCTCTCTTTTTGAACGTTTTCCACTTAAGTTGTTATTTTCACGAAATATTTACTACATAAGTATGAATATTGGTCACTATATGTGTGAACAGACGAAATCTAGATGCAAATCATAATAATGCTACTGATTAAAGCAAATCAATACTCACTGCCTTAATGTTATCGATTACCAATTTTTGTTAGAATTGATAATTTGATAGAAAATAATTTGAGATTCTATTAATACGTAGACTAATATAAATTAATTTTTAGATGTTAAAAGTGATGACGACGACGACGACTACGAATCACCTATAAAAATAGATTGGCCTGAAAATTTTCTAGATGAATACAGAAGAAGAAAAGAATGTTTCATTAAACAATATTCGGAATATCCTATAGCTGAAAACGTTACTGTAAGTAATATTATTTTTCTTGTTTCTGTTATCTAGAATTGTAATACATTTCCGACTGTGAAACAATAAGAACAAATATAATTTTACTATTTTAAACAAATTAAATGGCGATTCTACAGGACTAAAAAAACGTCAAAACTAAAAGCAGCAAAATTCTTTAGTGTATATCGTACGAAACGTGGCTGAAAATAGTGTTACAAAATCGGGAAATTAAACTATTGATATATGGAAGCAAAGTTGGGGGCTTGAAACTTTGGGAAATTATTTGGAAATTTTCTTTTTAAAATATATTGTTTTAAATATATCGTGTACATATATAATGAATTTATGTACAGTACAATGTGTACAGTACATGTATAAAGAGTACACGTGTATGTAATAAATATGTGTATAATAAATGGTTTTTTTTAAATTCTTTCATTTTCTTCCTCTTGTGTTGTTTACACTTTCGTTAAGATCATTAATTCAATACATCATATCCTATTTAGTTTTATTTTAGCCCGTAGACATCTTCGCCGCTGTTCTACCAAAACCATCAGATTGATAAATAATACTTCCTGTATGATTCTTTCATACAAACCGTGTGATTAAACTAACTCCAGAGATGCACGACATTTTCACCAACTCCGAATCGTTTAATGCAGAGTTTAATAAAAACATGTATGTTGATACTGATTGTTTTTCTGGAGAATATGAATATTTTGAAGAGGAATTTACATGTAATTTTTAATAAACTTGAGTGTCTTTTCTCCAGTGTGTGTATGATATTCATAAGAATTTTTGTATCTACTAAGTATTGTTAGTTGATAATTTTTCAAAATTATAAAACATATTTGCTATTAAGATTGACTGACTGGCTGATTCATTTTTCCTTTTTTTCCCTAATTTTTAAAATGTCATTCTGATACACCCTGTATATATAGGACAGAACATTTTAAAGAGCATTTCTGTTTCCTGTTTGCTATGAAAAAATATTTTTACTAATTAAATACATTTTCAAACAGATTCAAAATTAAAAACAAATTTTCGAGCTATATTTAAACTGAAAATAATATTTTATTATTTTTATAATTAATCTGAAATATAATATCAGGAATGAAAAATTTATTTAAAATATTTTTAAAAGTATATTGGTTAAACAAATCTTTTTAAAAACAACTTAGAATATTTTTAATACTTTTCTTGTTATTAATTCTCTATGAAATACTATGTGTTTAATTAAAAATTTGCATAAGAAATTATTATTTTATGATAAAATATAAATAATTTTACAGCTTGACGGAAACTCGACAGTTTCCGAAAACATTGCCGATAACTGTGGACTCTTTCATTCCTTTTGGGTAAATTACTACTTCAAAAATGAACATTAGCATTTTTTCAAATGTACTGTTAATATTATTTTATATATTCTATAGGCATATGAGAGATATTTAAAGAAACACGGCGAAGAGCCGAAACTTCCAGGACTTGACTTTACTAATAGACAGATGTTCTTCATTAGAGCAACTCAGGTACAGTACCTATAAATATCCAGACTGTTAATATTTTAAACAGATATTTAAATATTCAATGTAATCTTTAATTTCATAATGGAATTTAATGAGAAAATTAAATATGTGATTATATTGGATTATATATATTACCTTTCAAATAAATATATATATATATATTTATTTATTTATTTATTTATTTATTATATCACCTAGNTTAAAAATTTTTATATTTTTAATTATCATCAAATGGCTAAAAGCTTAAGTTTGATTAAGGGTAGGGATAGTTTTATAAAAAAATTGTAAATGGTAATAATGAGTAAAATCATCATGAAGTCTGATCTTACTGGAGATACACACAAACCTCTTTATCTCCCCATCCCACTGACCTTTACCTACCAAAATTAAATAGCATCAATCCTCCTGATAAATCTCTGCAAAATTTCAGAAATTTTCCACAAAAAGCACAGGAGTAATTAAGCTTCAAAAATGGTGAACAAAATCGTGTCCCCACAACACTTGCACCTTTACACACATACTAACATCCATACATACAGAAAAATACCCCGAATTTTTTTGCATTTCTCGGTGTATCAAGGTCCCCTGAATCGAAAAATGTAAAAATCTGGGATGGTCATTTTTTGACTGATCGCCATACTTTCCCTCTGTTACGAATAGCCTATATAACAGCCGAGAAAGTAATAATACGTAGATTGCTTCTGAAACTTAAACAGTGAAAATGAAACAATGCATTAATATTAAATATTGCTACAAGATTAGGATATTCTGAGAACCATCTATAACGAGGCAACTATGTCGAAGAACCAAGTGTGCGAGTGGTAGAACGATTCAAAGAAAGTGTGGAAGATGTGAAAGAAAATCCAAATCCAGAAAGACAAGTGACCATACACAACTCAAAGTTATCGCTAGCATTCATGAAACAAATAGACGAGATTGGCGGCAATCAAAAAATCATCTGACCACATTAATGACGTTTCACACACGAATCTGTACCTAGCATGTTCCGTGACAATCTCAAGATGCTCTGTACAGTAAGTATAGGCCTACTGTGCAATGAGTTTTCGCAGTCAAACACTATTTACCAAAAAAAAAAAAAAAAACAAGACTTCTATGCTTTCACTATCGCCTAATCTGGCTCGGGTAGACCTTTTCTCTTTCTAAAGTTTAAGTAGAGTTTTGTTTATTTCAATCATGTATTGACGTCATTAACTTCTCTGCTATCTTCAGATTGTTGTAAGTAATAAATAATCAAAAATTGTTGCACCCACATAGTAAATATTAGTTACTTTCACGTATAAATGCATAGAATGTAGTATTAATCCATCAACACGCATCTATTTCACAATGAAATCATTTTACTAGCGAATTCAAAAAATATATATATATATATAATTTATTAAACTCACACACTTTGTAGGCAATATAAATAATATATATAACAACATAGCAATAAATTAAAAATAATCATAAATAAATAATACAACGTGTTATGATGTGCCGCCATCTGTTGATAAAGAAAGACAACAAATAAAGCCACAAACAATCAAAGAAATAAACTTTGGATATTATATTATATTAATAACTAGCAGGTGGGCCCGGCGTTGCTCGGGCAAAAGTAACGATAACTAAGATAAAGATTATTACGTTACAGTAAACCTTACCCGTTTTCACAGAATGCAAGAATTGGGTCCCCTTGTTTCCAGACTAATTAGAGAATTTTTAGATGGGTCTAAAAATATGTTCGATTTCCCGCAAAAACGAAAAAAACTGCATCTGCGTCTCGCACATCGCTTTCTCTTAACAATTCCATTGTTACGTAACACTTCCATTGTTGAAACTTCCATTGTTACTTAAAACTTTTATTGTTACTTAACACTTCCATTGTTACTTAACACTTCCATTGTTACTTAACACTTCCATTGTTACTTAACACTTCCATTGTTACTTAACACTTCCATTGTTACTTAACACTTCCATTGTTACTTAACACTTCCATTGTTACTTAACACTTCCATTGTTACTTAACACTTCCATTGTTACTTAACACTTCCATTGTTACTTAACACTTCCATTGTTACTTAACACTTCCATTGTTACTTAACACTTCCATTGTTACTTAACACTTCCATTGTTACTTAACACTTCCATTGTTACTTAACACTTCCATTGTTACTTAACACTTCCATTGTTACTTAACACTTCCATTGTTACTTAACACTTCCATTGTTACTTAACACTTCCATTGTTACTTAACACTTCCATTGTTACTTAACACTTCCATTGTTACTTAACACTTCCATTGTTACTTAACACTTCCATTGTTACTTAACACTTCCATTGTTACTTAACACTTCCATTGTTACTTAACACTTCCATTGTTACTTAACACTTCCATTGTTACTTAACACTTCCATTGTTACTTAACACTTCCATTGTTACTTAACACTTCCATTGTTACTTAACACTTCCATTGTTACTTAACACTTCCATTGTTACTTAACACTTCCATTGTTACTTAACACTTCCATTGTTACTTAACACTTCCATTGTTACTTAACACTTCCATTGTTACTTAACACTTCCATTGTTACTTAACACTTCCATTGTTACTTAACACTTCCATTGTTACTTAGCACTTCCATTGTTACTTAACACTTCCATTGTTGATGGAAGTGTTAAGCCTTAATCCTGTCCCTCTCCCCCGTGGGGAGGAATTTCGAAAAATCCCTTCTTAGTGTGCGTTTTCATGACGTACCCTATCTGTGTACCAAATTTCAACTTTCAACTCCTAACCGTTTGGGCTCTGCGCTGATTATTATTATTATTATTATTATCAACCCGTCTCGATTATATATTAGATAGCTTCTTTTAATTTGTCAACTGTTTGAAACTGTCTGCCTGCCTCCTCTACAAAGATCTCTGCTCATTATTTTCTATAAATTTTTCTAATCGATTCATAACTTCTTGGTGGTCATTTCATAATATCACTTTTTTTTTAGACTTTAGCCAATCCTCTGTTGATTTTGACAAATATGTAAGAGCATATTTGTCAAAATCATATCTTGTTGATATGATATATCAACAGGAACGACTTTTTCCACGTTCACTGATTACTTTAGTGAAGGTTTACATTTACTAGTAATAAATCACATTCACTGCACAATCCATTTTCACTGTAATATACGTACTGTACTGTACATAGTATATATACATAATTAGTTATATATACAGATATTTCATAACTAATTATGTTAACAAAAGAAATTATCTTTTAGTCTTAAAGTATCTTTTTCTGTAAACTTGTATATTGATATAGACATTTTTTTCTAATAGATGGAATGCGAAAAAGTATATAACATGAAAGAAGAATTCAGTTCTACTTCTCATAGTCCAGGAATATACAGGCGAGAAATAATTAACATTTCTATTAATTTCAACTTTTTGATAATCTTCGTATATATTATGTTATAAATGTTAATTATTATCTGTCAATAAACACCAGATGTCTTACAATGTAATAACTCAATACAGTATGTATACATTGGGTTATTACATTATTAGACATCTGGTATTTATTGACAGACAAACATTAAAAAGACAAATCCGTTTCAATCTGTTTATAAATAACAAATGTTTTATAAGTTAAATTAATATATTCGTATTCGTTGACTGCTTAATAGTTTTCATATTTCTATTTAAATTGTTTATTAGTGTTTAAAAGGTAATTTAATAAGTAATTTTGATCTGAAATTTTACAATTCTATACAAAAGATTTGTCTTTTCATAAAAGGAAAAAATCGAATTTTTGAAAGAATTCCGGTAAAAATTAAAAATAAAACTGCAAATAATTGTGCAAATATATTAAAATAAGGCAAAAGTGGCGTGTCAGGACGTCGAAGCTGCGAGTGACTTTTTTTGTGAACATTACATAAACATAGTGAAGTGACAAATAATAGTCTGTTTGATTAATTTATTATTAAATAAGTGCAAACTAATATTATATACTTCAAGTTAAAGGAGGAAAGTAATATTTCAAAAAATAACATTATGCAAAGATCCCCAGTTAAGCGAGGAAGACCGCCACCTACAAGATCAAGAACAGAGAACAAACAAGATTATTCAGGTTCTTCAAGCTCAAAACTCATTACGGACTATGGAATACAGTTAAATAGTGATTTGCAAGAAGAAATAAGAGAGTCTAACCAGCAAAATTTATTGAGTTCAACAGGTGAGTCATCTAATATTAATGCNTCTTTCGCATGTTTTTTCTTCTTCTCGCGTCTGCATAGGCGCAATTTAACACTCGTAAATATGAACGTTATAATTAATTTATTGATCTCTTTATGCGAGGCACCAAAGCACTGACGTGTCTGATGGGTCATAATTTTATCTTATAAGTGGTTTAGCGTGTGATATATTCGTAGAGAATGATATCCGATCCCAATTATCCATGAGAAACGATAAAATTTTAATCAGATTTGACTTCGGATTCCTAACTTCATATCTCACTAAGCGATCGCGAAATAAAATATAATTTTAATATGAATAAAAAATAAATAAATAAAAATAATTTTAAATTAAGTTTTTATTTTATTTTTCTCGAAAAATAATTTAATGATGACACAATGAACTTTCTAAAACTATTTTGTAAAATAATAATAATCCAAAATTAACATTGTTGCAATAAATACGAATACGAACAAACCAATAGAAATTACCTAAATTTGTATGTATATTATTAGATATATTTGATATTGCAAACTATTATAAAAAATAAAATTTACGTTTTTATGCATTGTAGTAAATACGTAAATAATAAAAATATTTAAAATTAGTATGAGATACGATAAGTTTATTTTCAACTAAATTATTCGAGTATTTAATCAATCCACTCAGGTTTTAAGTTTCGTGATTCGTGAATATTAGAAAAAATATATAAATACAATTACTGATTCCATTAGCAATTAGCAACTTATAATTTTTATGCATAATTGATTAACTATGCTTAAAAATTAAATTACTGTACTTTTTCAAATATAAAACTTGGATTGATGGAATAAAACAACGCAACACTTGAGTGATTTGTTAAAGGGGTACCTCCCGGAAGGACTTTTTATGAGAAAACTGGTCATATTTAGTGTCCGACATGTGAAAGTAACTCGGAAAACTCCACTCAGCTTAGCCCGTTGGTCAGGCGCTAAGCTGTGACCTACAATCAACTGTCAGCGTTCAATGGTCTTATCCACTCCGCATTTGTGTGCAGAAAATAATTTAAGCTTCTCGTAAATATTTGAAAAATCATTATCTAAAATGTTTGAAAAAATTACTAAAATTTATACAGTAGTGTCCGGAAACTCGATTATCAATAACTCGACTTTCAGTAAAACTCGTCGTTTCGTTTATTAAATAAGTAAATAAATAAATGTTATCTACTTTATAACACTACTAGCAGGTGGGCCCGGCGTTGCTCGGGCAAAAGTAACGATAACTAAGATAAAGATTATTACGTTACAGTAAACCGTACCCGTTTTTACAGAATGCAAGAATTGGGTCCCCTTGTTTCCAGACTAATTAGAGAATTTTTAGATGGGTCTAAAAATATGTTCGATTTCCCGCAAAAACGAAAAAAAACTGCATCTGCGTATTGCACGTCGCTTTCTCTTAACAATTCCATTGTTACGTAGCATTTCCATTGTTGACACTTCCATTGTTACTTAGCACTTCCATTGTTACTTAGCACTTCCATTGTTGATGGAAGTGTTAAGCCTTAATCCTGTCCCTCTCCCCCGTGGGGAGGAATTTCGAAAAATCCCTTCTTAGTGTGCGTTTTCATGACGTACCCTATCTGTGTACCAAATTTCAACTTTCAACTCCTAACCGTTTGGGCTCTGCGCTGATTATTATTATTATTATTATTATCAACCCGTCTCGATTATATATTAGATAGCTTCTTTTAATTTGTCAACTGTTTGAAACTGTCTGCCTGCCTCCTCTACAAAGATCTCTGCTCATTATTTTCTATAAATTTTTCTAATCGATTCATAACTTCTTGGTGGTCATTTCATAATATCACTTTTTTTTTAGACTTTAGCCAATCCTCTGTTGATTTTGACAAATATGTAAGAGCATATTTGTCAAAATCATATCTTGTTGATATGATATATCAACAGGAACGACTTTTTCCACGTTCACTGATTACTTTAGTGAAGGTTTACATTTACTAGTAATAAATCACATTCACTGCACAATCCATTTTCACTGTAATATACGTACTGTACTGTACATAGTATATATACATAATTAGTTATATATACAGATATTTCATAACTAATTATGTTAACAAAATAAATTAAATTAAAGAATATGTGAATATGTACGCGAGTAATAAGTGCAAATTAAACAATTAATGGAAAAATATTGTTTTAGTAAAGATAAATATGGACACATGAAACTACAACCCCTTGTAATAGGGAAGTAATTCCCATTAGACAATAAACTTATTCTGATTCTGAAAATAAGGCAAAAGTATTTATTCTTGGGAAACAAATGCAAATGAGAGATGAATTTTTGTGTGAAAATTACTCTCTGGCTTATAAAAAATTGCAGTGTGTGGCATATTTTAAATTAATGTTAATGAAACGTAAATTTTTTAACGTTGTTCATCATCAAAAAATCAACAAAGATGAGAGATGGGACGTAGCCTACAGTAAGAAAATGGTGATTGTTTAATTAAGCGGCACACAACATGGATGACTCTAAAAAATTACTTCTATTCGTGATTGACTAATTAGCTACACTTTTTTAAATATGGAAATAATAATATAGAGAATCCATATGTTATTTATTATCTTTGACAACTAAGCTAATTATCTCTTAATTTGATTTATTTCATACTAATTAATTATTTAAAAATCAAGAAAATTCTAGGCACGTGAATTTGTAGACATTCCATTGCATAACATAAAATTTTGTTACAAAAATTGCTTCTAGCCCTTGGTAAGCCCTCACTATTATCTGCCTCACGGTTGTTAATAATTTAATTAATATAATAAAATCTTGTATTGCAATCTATTACATCTAATATATAATCGAGACGGGTTAATAATAATAATAATAATCAGTGCAGAGCCTAAACGGTTAGGAGTTGAAAGTTGAAATTTGGTACACAGATAGGGTACGTCACGAAAACGCACACTAAGAAGGAATTTTTCGAAATCCCCCCCCGGGGGGAGAGAGACAGGATTAAAACTTCTATATACATTATGGATATGAGCCAAACGGTTAGGAGTTGAAAGTTGAAATTTGGTACACAGATAGGGTACGTCACGAAAACGCACACTAAGAAGGGATTTTTCGAAATTCTCCCCCGGGGGGAGAGAGACAGGATTAAAACTTCTATATACAT